ATTTAGCTGGTTGGAGCTCAAGTCCCTGAAATTTATATAAGAGAAATAGAAATAAGAGTCACATTTAATTCTCCAATAGGAAAATCATTCCATCATGAGGAACAAACACGTGAACTTACAGATAACCAAGGTTGGGTATTCTACTTAGGTCAAGGATTGATCCTTGCAAGCTGCAGTTCCTAAGACTCCTAATAATTTAACCAACAAAAATGTTCAGTGTCACAAAATTCCACACACCTTTAAGTCCACATATGCTTGCTAATAGTCATTTTCAATCCATGTTAAAATTATTAGGGACAGCTATACGACATTTAGCTATATTCAAGAGTATAGTATTTAAGGTGCATAAAATATATTTTTATTTTGGCACATGTATTGTATGTGATTTTATGTTTATAATATTTTCATTTCATCCAAATTGTGTAAGTAAAACCTAATTTCACTCTGAAAATTATCCTTCTAAGTTTTATCAATTTCATTGTTTTGTGTTATGTTACTGATGATTTTTAATCACTGTTTGCTTGTAATGGTGAAACAATGTAAATATTGCTTTACAAAAATTTCAAATGTATAGTCTTATATAACATGTATAAATATATTAATAACATGGTAGCACCTATCTCCTCATCTCTACCTCCTAAATCTATATAATGCGAGGATAAGGTTATAGTAAACACTTACAACTTCAATAAGGTAGGTATGTTTCCAAATGATCCTGGAATAGTAGCCCCATCAAAGTTGTTATTGTCAAGTTGACTGCAAAAGGTAGAAATGGAAAGTATTAAGGAAATCAAAGAAGATTATCAACTGAAATATGAAATGTAAAAGCATTTTCATGTAATTATAAAGATATACTCAAGAAAAGAATGATCAAGAAGAAAAATATACAGAACAAATGTAACTGTGGACTTCATTAATGAGAAAAAAAAAAAAACGTTCTTCATGTTTGCATTGTGTGTGTATATATATAGACCTCAGCTCTGTTCTATTATTCTCTTGCTCCTTGAGTTGAATAACTAACAAGTTACATACAATATATAGCTCTCGCTCTCATTTTACGTTTTCATTTAGCTCTATCCCACAACAATCAGAATAAATGACTTAGAAGCTTAAGTCTATATCAGAATATTTCCAGGAAAGTTAAAAAACATACAGGATGGCTAAATTCGGCATTTGGGCAAGTTCCTGTGGAAGATACCCCGATAAATTGTTATTGTCAAGAAGTCTGCATAAGAAAAAATGTATGGAGCCTTAGAAGGACGCAGAGTTGCACATAATCACAGATAAGTTACTGCTACAGATATATGACAAGACTAAAATAGGAGAAATTAACCTATGATAAACTTACAAGTGTTTAAGGTTTGGTAATTTGGAGAGCTCCGGAGGGATATGTCCACTAATTGAATTATTATTCATGTAACTGCTCAAAAGGAGAAAGAAGATAAGGAGTAGATTGAAAATATAAAAAGGAATGCAAAGTGAAAATAACAAGGGACACTAGTACGTAGTGGCTATTTCAAAATGCCCTTACAAATGCTTGGTTTTGTTTAAGTTTGCAAATGATTTAGGTATTGGTCCGGATATGTTATTCTCGTCAATTTGAATCCTGTCTAGCTTCGATAGATAGCCAAGCTCATCAGGCAAGGAACCTGTCAATCGGTTCCCATTCAGGACCCTATAAAATAGAATACCACTTGTATATGAGCAAATAAGAAAATTTGATACAGATATGCAATATTACAATATTTATAATATGATCAGAAATGAGATAGAAAATCATCGATTAAAAAATTTAACTTACAAGAGCTCCAAAGTTGTGATATTGCCAATCTCTTTTGGTATACTCCCACTAATTTTGTTCCACATAAAATCCCTTTTACAATGGAAACGAATGATAAACCATCATTAGGTAAAAATTACAATTCTTCCAGGAAGGATTGAGATAAAGGTAGCTTTCACAATATACTTAGCCTCACAATATCAACAGACGAGACAAGCGGCCAAGTGCCGGTGATAAAGTTCCTGAAAGATTCATGTTCAGTAGTTCCCTGCATGAAACAAAATTAAAAAAAAAAAAAGAAAAAAAGCAATATAGCATAGTTGTTAATTAGTAAGAATGTTAAAAAGCAATCAGGTGAAAGTTTACTGGAAGTTGATATCTAGTTTTTGTGGGTTTGTAGACAGTTAGAAGATTCTTGACATAAAAACAAAGTAGCAGTAACTAGTTAAGTGCCATGATATGGTGAAGGGATTATGGCAACAACTTTTCAATGATGTTAAGATGTATTAGCAAGTGTCCTGATTAGTACCTAGACCTATATATCTTGGTGGAATGACTGCAGTGATGGGGGGTAATTTGTCCATAACCATGAAAAACGAAATTGCCAAAGAGGGAAAAAAAATGGAATTTGAGTTCATATTACTATTTTACAACTCAAAGCTTACAATTCTCTGACATGCAGATAGCCATCATCTAGGGTTGTATTAAAGCATAAAACTCCATTCCAATTGGATGTGCATGGATCTCCACGATTCCAACTGGTCAAATTTTTATTGGGATCAATCAAACTTCTCTTAATGGTTCGCAATGCGCTCACTGCAAATTGTAATTAACATTAGTTAATTCATCTAAATAAATGTCATATGATTTTCGAATATGAAAAAGAGTAAGTCAAACCACACAAGATAAAAGTGCAAGCTACTACTACTAGACTTTAAAAAGAATAGAGCCTAGGAAACTATACATGCTTGGTAGTATTTACACGTATGCATCACATCTCTCAAAAAGTGCTTAAACATAGTCCTATTCTTAAGGCACAATTAATGTAAACTCTTAGCGCATTCTTTGAAAATAAAAGTGCGAGGGTAAATGGCAGAAGCTCAAGCAAAATCTCCTTGTGGCGTCTACTATTGAATCAAGACACAAAAAAAGCAACCTTCATCTGGGTGAGTTGTGGAACTTCGTGCTCCAACAAGCGCTGAAGACAAAAAGAAGCAGCCCAGAAGGACACAGAGTTTTGTTTTGGACATCCCAAGATAGCAGAGGTCACCAGAGTTGTGAAGCATCTCTGATCACTACACACATAACCAGAAATGGGAGTCTGTCTTTCAGCATAAGAAGAAAGCAACGAAGACTGAAAATTTAACCCCTTTTTTTCATCGGAAAAAGAAAACAACTTTAGTTTGTATTCATTCAGATAAATGCAAAATTCCTGTGTGAGACAGCAGCTAAAGAGACAATGAAGCATTGCTATATATAATTGTAAAAGAAATAGCAAGGAGGTTTGGGAAGATAAAAAGAAAATAAAACATTACGCTGTAGAAAGATAAAATTGTAGAGATGAGAGGAGAGGTTCTGCAACATGAAATGAAAATGAGAAGATATATAATCGAAGTCTGAG